CGCCGCCCCCAAGCGCTGTCGCCTGCCCACGGGGAAGGCCGTCCCCCCTCTGATCAGCGAGCCCGACTACCGCAAGCGGGGACTCGACGAGTGGAACTATGTCATCGTAAGTTTTGAGCCCGCCCGAGTGCCTAATATCTTTCTTTGGTCGCCCCTTGCCTGACACAATAAAACTGTTTTGTTATTTCGTCGTTTTCGGCGCAGCCCCTCCCTGAGCCTTTGAAAGTTCGCTCCAGAGAAATTATAGCGAGTCACCTGTACAGTGGGTGTTCCTGCCAAAAGCGCAATGGGCTCCAGGTAAGTGAGTCTCGCCACTCGTACTAAGGGGCCGACGACAAGTATCCAGTTTTCATTCAGCCGGCTTACATGACCACAGAATAACTTTCCTTGAAATGCACATAGAAACGAATTTTTAAGGTCCGGGTAAAGTACCCAGAATCACCACCAATTGATGAACGTTCCGGCTAGCGATAGGTCAGCGCTGATCCCAAATTTATTATTCTACCCCCTTGATTTTTTCAAATAAGAAAGCTGTGGTCAGACACAAGATATTAATGGACTGTTAAACATTTCTAAAAGCATGTCGTGGTTCCTTAGTTTGAAAACAAGTTCGCTGAGGTTTTATTATGGACCTTTACAGGATAACTGCAGGCGCTGGGACTGCCGGGGGGCGCCCCATTGCTGCAAGACTGGACTTTGCAAGAACAGCGGAGGGGCAGGCTGTGATGGCTCACTGTGCAGAAAGGGGTGAACAGTCAAATTTCCAAGAAAAATAACACATTTAAAAGTTTGGGATAATTAAAAAGGAACAAAACCGTCTAACTTTAGTAAAATGCGTTTATTTGAATGGCAATGTCGATGCAAATAAAAGGAGGTAGACATAAGAAAATACAATACTTTTTCAAATACAAATAAACAATGAATGGTAAGTCATCACAACAATCAACAGTTTTATAAGGCAGTTAGGTCGTCGAATGGAATGAATGAGTCAATCGTCACATTTCATCACAGAACTTTAGCTTGGAACATGCTTCGATCACAGTTTACACATACTGGGAGGCTGTAGTTTCCACTGTCGGTGCACCGCTTTGCTTTTACACTGAAGCTGGGTGAGATGTTCCTTATCTGAAATACAAACAAAAGTAGTATTAGATAACAGGTATAAGACTCGGGTATTATGAAACTAGTCAGACCGAAATAGAACACAAACGTAATACGGCTATTTTAAATATATAAGAACAAAAAGACAGATTGTACATACCCCCAGATTTAAGGTACGAGTTGACAGGTCCCTCGATGGCATCGGCCCATAGGGCGAAGTTGACATGAGGGTAGACGACAGCGTCCTTGCCGCTGCCGACCTGGGCGTTGCACACCAGGACGCCGACGACGGTGGGCTTGTCGGGCCCCGGCCGCAGCAGGGGGCCCCCGCTGGCCCCGGACTGGACGTTGCACGTCGTCAGGATCTGGCTCGACGCGGAGGTCCACCAGCCCGACACCTCCCCCCGCGACACCAGCGGGCGGAGCACGCGGCCAGGGTCGGCCGCCGAGCGCTCGGAGAACAGCGGGAAGCCGGCTGCGATCACGGGCTCGCCTACAGAACGGGGCCAAAGCAAAGATGGTCAGCACACTTTGATTTTGCGGAGTCAGAACACAGAGATTCGACGGAGTTGAGGGTGGCGGGATGGCTCCACGAGCGATTTCTTACCAACGCGAGGCGGGCGGCAGTCCAGGGTCAGCGGCCGGAGCTCGTGCACCAGGGGATTGTCCGCGACGATCTCGAGCACGGCGACGTCGAAGGGCTCGCCGTCCGCCGAGCGCCATACGACCACGGCGGGAAGCGAGTGTTCACCCCAGCACACGGTCACCCCCCTGTCCTGCGAGGGCAGCGGAGGAGAACAGGGTGAATCACAGACTTGGGCAGTTGAAGATGAGCGCGCGCGAGGCGGACGATGCGAGGGTGGATACTCACCTCGACCAGGACGTGCGCGCAGGTGAGGATGACGGGTCTGCCCGGGTTGCCCATCTTGCCGACGACAACGCCAGACCCCCACATGTGAGCGCAACGGACCAGGACCACGCTGTTGTCGATACCTGCAGCAGAAACAAAAGAATCAAAAACGATACGAAGGGTTCTCGAGGAGAATGGAAAAAGTCAAACCTCGCAAACGGCCGAAAAGTTTTGCTCGTTTCGTCAGTGGACCCAGATTCTTCCGGAGATAGGAGATAGGATATGGAGGTAGGGGAAAAGGTCTATATGTTTCACAAGGCGTCAAATACTTGGAACTCTGGATGGCGAGTCAGTAGTAGCCAACATACCGTAAAGATCGACGTCGTCCGTGGCGTCACCGTCGAACGCCGGTGCAGTCGGGGGAAGGGCGGGGCGAGGTCGACGCCCAGCCGCCCGCGCTCGCAGCTCCAGCTGGAGCACGGCGTCGAACAGCAGGCGGCGCAGCCCAAGACACAGCGTAAAGCCCACGGCCTCCCCGCGCCACCAGGTGAGCGGCGAGAGCACGACGGCGCACGGGAGGGCGGCGGCCGCGGCGGCCAGGTTGTAGACGCCGGCGCCCTCGCAGCCGGGCGTGACCCTGGCGTCGGTGAGCGTGAGCACGCCGCCCGCGGCCGCGCCGGACACGACGCCCTGGCACACGGCGCCCAGCAGCCCCGGCGCGCCCAGGGGGGCGGAGGCCGTGCACACGGCGGCGCCGCGCGGGGGCACGCCGGGGACGCGCGGCAGCAGGCGGCGGAGGGTGTCCGTCACGGGGCCGAGGCCGGCGCGCTGCTCCGGCACGGGCTGCAGCTGCAGCAGCAGGAACATGGACAGGAGCGCGCGCACCTCCCGACTCGAGTCGTCGCAGGTGCTGGCGTCCCGGATGGTGGGCTGCAGCGAGGGCCACTGCTCGGCGGCGGACGACTCGAGGCCCACCGTGTCGCTGCTGAGGCGGAGCTCGGCGAGGACCTGGGGCAGGGCGGCGGCCAGCTTGGGCCAGCGCCACGCCACCAGCACGCGCGCCTGCACCTCGGCGAGGTCATCCTCCAGCGGGGGCGGCGTGGACAGCCCCGCGCCCACGCTGGGCTCCCCCGCGGAGAGGGGCGGGGACACGGCGCGTGGCTGAGATCACAGGAGGCGAGGGCGGCATGAGGTCACTGGGGGTGGCGGTGCGGCGGCGAGGCGCTCCGGGCCGATCGGAGGCCCGCGTCATACGCCCGCCATACCATACTCCTCTGGCCCTCACCTTGATGCTCCCCCGCCTCAGGACGACGCTCAGGGCTGGGATAGCGCGCCGCCGGATGACTATCTTGCCGCCGCCGGCCGACT